CCCACCCCCCAGTAGTAGAAACCGGAAGGGAGAATACATCCTAAGTTTAATAGTTTGAATATTGGGGTATGACCAGGATATGACCGCCTCAGGCTCTCTTCCAACTCAGTGAGGAGGAAACAGAAAGTTAAGACTGTTTATTGGTTTTTGGTTTTGTTTGTTTTTGTGCTCTGCTGTTAAAGTAGCACAAGCAAGCTCTAGAAAATTCAACATTTTCGACAAAGGGCCCAGAACAGAACCATGGGCCTAGAGACCATTTTTTTCAGTCTGGGTTTCTGAGGGCAAAGATCAGACAACCAGAAGGTCAGATGGCATTCCTGAGTTGGTCGGAGGTCATTTCCCACTGGGACAAAGGAAAGGAGGCAGAGTCTTCCCAGAACCACACCCAGGGATGGAGGGAATTTCAGGGAGGGAGGCGGGTCCCCTGTAACATAACCAGGATGGTATGTTACATCCTGACATGGGTGTTAACCTTGGAATGCGGCCCATACTTCTTTCATCATCATGGGAAGATTAATAGCCTTGTTCTTGAAAGAATGGAATCCCAGAGGCGCCTGCCCTTTGCAAACCGCCACCCACCCACATTGTCTGTAACCTGTTAGCATTATATCTTGCCTACTTCCCCATGCCTGTAATTCCTACTTTCCCATGTAACCTTTGCCCTTCTACCCCATATAAGCAGTCAGTTTATGAGAGGGAGGGGGATGGCGAGAGAGCAGATTCTCGTGAATGACCCCCTGCTCTCCCATATTGCCGGCAATATTGGAATAAACTCTCATATACAATTCAACCCTGTCTGTGCTTAATTGGCTCAAGTAGTGACCCATTTGTTGTCCAGTTTCAAAGACAGAATGCAAGAGTGACCCATCCACCCCAACCCACCTGCTGTAGAAAGTGAAGGCAGCTGCTTAGACCACATTCGAAGAGGTTGGCTGAGAAAAGGGGGGGGGGGAACTAGTGACTAGAGGTTAACCAGAGGAGGAGGGTCAATCAGGCCAAGAGTAAGAAGCATTTCACATTTTCCTATGATGCCTATATTTGTACATTTACTATACCTGCCACTATTTATTTAAAATACCAAATAGTCTTCTTGATAGCCAGTTTCTTTCACTGATCCCTGAATTCCTATTCTTATTCCCTCCCCCTGCCCTAGAAACACACACACATGAAATCTCTCCACTCATGCACACACTCTCACATGCACATACACACTCACACACATGTGCACACATGCACACACACTGAGACAACTATGTCAATGTCCAACCACACGCCCTTGGGAGAATAATTTCTGGCCTGTCCTTAGATTCCAGACAACCTGGCATCACACCCAAACTGCAGAAAAGAGGAAGACTTGGAACTGAAAAACTTGGAAGGAAAGGCCCAACCGTGCAGGTATTTGGTCAGACACAGATTTCAGCACCAAATTCTAGAAAAGATGAATGATGCTTAATAAAAAGTGAAAATCAAAAGCATTTCTGACTTTATTTCTTGCTAAAATGACAGCAGGGAGTTGTGAAAACAGGTGGACTAGCGAATTGTCCCTCAAGAAGGGAGAGGAAGGTCCCAGCAGGCCTGGGGATGGGCCAGGGCAGTGAGGGCTAAGGCACCCTGGGGGGCCTGGGCCATCTTCTTGGGTTTTACCGCCTCAGGAAGGCACAGGCTTCCAGAAGTGCTGTGAATACAACAAAGCAGGAGATTCAGAAACTAACTTCTTTTTCAATCAATAAGTCAATCAAGGAAGATACTAAAACAAAGACTTTCTTCTGCCCTTTCCCACCACCGTAGGTCATGCTTGCTCTACTCATTTCCCCACGGCCCAAGGAAGCACCCTACAGGCGTGGCCCTCACCAACCTGGGGGATTCCTTGCTCTGACCTAAGTGACACATCTCTCCACCCAGCTTCTCTCTAACTGACATTGATGGTCCCCTAACTTCAGGAATGTGAGCAATTAACATGCCCTCTGTATGCAGATCTGCTTGCAGTAGTGTTCACCTGCTCACTCACCCATTCATTTGTGAATGAGTCACTGTGCCAAGTGCCCAGGGTTCAGCTTAGACAGACAAGCTCTGCCCTCAAGGAGCACGTAGTCTATGAGATGTGAGCTGGCTGCTTGCAAGAATCACCCTACATCTGGGTTTCTCCAAGTGTTGTCCTAGAGTCACCTGCAGCACAATCCCCTGAGACCTCGGCTGATGGAGAGCAGGGCTTCTCCACCTTGGCCCCCCATTTGCGGCTGGGGAATTCTTTGTAGTGAGAGCTGTTCGTGCTTTCTTCAGTAGCATCCCTGGCTTCTACTCACAGATGCCAGCAGCTCCCCCTAAGTTATGAGAATAAAAAATATCTCCAGGCATTGTCAAGGGTTCCCTCGAGGGCAAAATCACTAGAGTTGAGAGCTACTGATATAGAGATGCTTGGCCTTACTCTCATCCCTGGACCACACTCCCCACTCCATCCAGCGCCTCCAACTCTGGATGATGTGGGGGGTGTAGGAAGAATCTCAGAATCATCGCCCAGAGCCTTGCAATGCTCTGCGATGTCTTCTAAATGTTTCTAAAGGATTGAATTAGTGTCAGTACAATTTTAGCCAGAAAATTGTAAGGATTGAAAATTTTAATTCAATCCTTTAGTAGGTATTTATGGTAATTATCTAGAAACCAGAATTTGACATTTTTCAATACATATGTCTGATGCATCTACGTGTGTATATTTGTATGTATATGCATGTGTGTATATATGTGTGTGTATATATATACACATATACACACACATTTCATTTTACTGAATAAAATAGTAAGTTTCTAAAACCTCCGGCAGCCACTCTCAGAATTATAAGATGTAGCATGTTATCTACTGCTCTATTTCTTCTCTAAGTCTTTCCCCTCATCAATGATACTGCAGTTTCCTGAGGCATGGAGATAGTGCATTGCCTTAATGTTTTTCTACCCATCTTCCTTCCTAGAACCCTGACCGCCTGGCCTGCCAACCTTGCCCTTCACCCACAGTGGCTTCTCAGAGGTGCTCCCGAAGGTCCACTTACGGGAGGTGGAGCACCGTCTCAGGTTAGCGACAGCCGCGACATACTCTGCTCCCAAGTATTTCTCATACGTGGTTTTGCCCTGGAGTTTGGCCAGACACTCGGTGTTGTCATTGAACAGAAGGTTTTTGGTTTCCGACTGGAACAGGCAAAATGTTCTGGGGCAGTCGCGTCCGTTTTTTCCAAACTTAGCCTGTGTCAGAGGGCAGAGAGCGCGTGAGGCGCCGAGGGAAGCAGGCGAGAGTGCGGATTAGGGAGGCTGGGAGCACGTCTTCCCTCCAGGATCGCCCTGGGACAAACAGCGGCCAAAGGGAGCAGAGTGCTGGTCTTGATCCACCGTCTCGGACAAGGGTCCCCTGCCCCATGTCCTGCTGCTGCTCATGCCCCAGGTGGCAGACCCAGCCTGGGCAGCGCCCAGGCCCTCAACCACGCTGATCTCACCTCCCGCCATCTCTCCTTCCTTCCTAATCTGTGGCCTCTTTCCCTAGAACTTGCTAGGGGTGACTAAGTGACAACTGAGGGTTTGGGGATCTGCCCCAAGCGTTGATCACCAGCAGCATTCTAACTGGCTAGCTCTTCACAGGGCCAGTCTGCACAGGACATCAGGTGCCACCCACCAGGTCACTTCCTTGGGCAGGTCACTTAGCCTCCCTTGGCCACAGTCCCTCCTCCGCGCCCAGAGCTCCAGCAGGGCTGAGCTGTGACACCGATCGCCTCAATGGCAGCAGACCTCCCACCCGCACCAGTGCCTGTCGGTGCCCTTCCAGGCCCCTATATTTACGGCACCCGGAGACACACTGTTTTAGCACAAAACTGGAAGTCCTCCTAGAGAATCGCAGACTTTAGGAAGCGGCAGGGTTTCCTTCCCGCCACTTCTCAGAGCCAGCCTCACAGCTCCCGGAGGTCTGGGTTTGCCGCTCTGGGCGACGACGAATGCGGGGCCTGGTCTGGAGCGTCGCTCAGCCGGCCAGGCTCGGAGCTCAGAGCAAGCCGCCGCTGCCCGGCTGTGGGAGGAAGGCTCGGTCGCCGCCCTCATTTGCCTGGACAAAAGCAGGCACTGAGCCAGGCGGTGAGCACAAGTCCAGGCACAGGGGACTCAGGGCAGAAGTTAGGTTAGTCCCAGAAATCCCAGGACAGAAGCCTCTGTTGTCCTCAGTGAGACTCTAGGCAGCCCCACAGCCAATGCAAATACGGTCACCACCGGCTTCAAGCAGAGGGGCTGGAAAGAAAGGCGTGGCATGGGCTGGCTGACCTAGCTCTGTGATTGCCCCGCCCGACGCAAGCCCACGCAGTTAAGACAGGGCAGGAGGCCCAGCCAGTGCGGCTCAGTGGTTGAGTGCCGACCTATAAACCGGGAGATCGTGGTTCAATTCCCAGTCAGGGCACATGCCCGGGGTGTGGGCTCGATCCCCAGTAGGTGGAGTGCAGGAGGCGCTGGTAGACGACTCTCTCTCATCGTTGATGGTTCTCTCTCTCTCCCCCCCTCCCTTCCTGTCTCTGAAATCAATAAAAACATATTTTAAAAAGAGAAAGAAAAATAGGGCAGGAGCCCTACTGGTCCGTACCTGCTGGTCGAGCAGCACCTGCTCCAGGTGTTCTACCTTATCCGGCCGCGACACCACAGCGTGATTCGGGGCCTGGGCCAGGTGGCAGCTCTTAGCCTCAGTCACAGGCTTCCGGGTGCCATCAAGGCACAACAGCTCGAAGTCCTCCAGCTTCAAGGCCTTAGCCCACTCTTCAGTGCCTTTTCCTGGGGAGACAAGGTGGCATCAGTGGCAGGGTCCTTCCGGGTGGGTGTCACCAGCCACTGGCCTCTTGAAACGCGCGCACTGGGGTTGCAAAGGAGAGAAGAAAGCGCTGTGAGGCTCCTCAGGCATGAGCGCCGTGTCCATACAATAAAATAGAATTTAGCCATGAAACCAAGTGGGGCACCGACACATGCTACGATGCGGGTGCGCCTTGCAAACGTGATGCTCCACGAGAGAAGCCACCCACAGAAGGCCACACGTTTATGTGCAGTGTCCAGAATGGGCTAAGCTAGGGGTGGATGGCAGCCAGCTCTGGGGGCGCAGGGAAGCGGCCGTGCTGGAGGCCACTGAATTGTACACTCTGAACGGGTGGGTTTATAGTATACGAATTGCATATCGATAAAGCTGTTAAATTTGTTAGCTTTTAAGAAGAAAACTGCCCATCTGTGACATATTTTCCTGTGGTTTATGTTCGAGGAGAAATTGTTTCCCCTTTCCTTTCATATTCAAGTGCTCTTAGCATAACCAGAGAAAAGAAGGAACTTCTATGGGTTTCTCAAGTATATTTAGTCAGTTCCAATAAAAAACAGTTGTAAAATCCCATGGAAGTTTAAAATTAAATTTGACATCTGCTCCCTGGAGAGCCCTTCGATGGATGGTTCATGAATTCTAAATGGAATTGCATGCATGTCTGCATGCATGCAAATGCACAGATGCACGGCTCATAAATTCCGAACAGAATTACTTATATGCATGTCTGCGTGCATGCAAATGCACAGATGAATGGCTCATAAATTCTAAATAGAATTAATTACATGCATGTCTGTGTGCATGCAAATGCAGGTTGATCGCTCAGGCCTCTGCTTCTCTCCTGCCATCTCCCCTCCAGGGAGCACTCCGCCCAGTCTCTTGGCGTTGTTCATTTGATATCGGGTCATTCCAAATTTACATGTCTGGCCTCGACCCCTCTCCCAAGAGACGTGAGGAAGGAGCGGCTGTGACTGTTGATATCTTTGAAGGAGGGAGGTGGAAAGCTGGGGCAGTTATTTCTCGGGGGACAAAATAGCAAGGCGCCTGCTGAGGAGGGGTGGGGAGGCTGAGTGGATGAGGAGAGGGGTGCAGCTTGGAGTCTTGAATTTGGTCATTGTGATTTTCATCTGGAGTGCAGAAGAGAGAGGGATCATTCAACACTGGCTGCTAGTTTATCTTCCACCATCTGGGTCCGCCTGTGACTCTCCCCCTTTACTCCCAAGGAGTTTCCAGACAGGAACTCACAGGGGGCTCAGTGAAGATGCCTACTTCCTTTTTAAAGGGAAATTTTATTTACATATGTTTGACTTTTTTTATAGTATCATCCACAGTCTCCCATCAGCCGGGAAAGGCAGATGGTATGCTTCTGTGGTTGTCTAGACAAAGCCAGGAGACATCTGCTACTGAATATTGCTGGGAGGGAAGGGGGGCGTTTCAAAATCAATGTAATACCTATAGACATTACCATGTTACCAAGTTTAATATTTCAAAATTAAAAGTCTGGAGACCTGTACACCTTCCCAGCTGCAAATATGAACACTAGGAGGTGTTGCGATGCCAGAGACTTTGCTCTGAAGGGGCAGGGGAAACACCTTCGCTTACCATTCGTGTTCTCCAGGACGGTGGCATCTTTCACAAAGGCGACATCTCCGGCGTTCTCAGCCAAGCACCTAAAATGTTCCAGGAAACAAACACATTGCCAGAGAAGAGGAAACGATCCAAGTTCTCATAAATATTTGCAACATACGTTCCCAAATCTGCAACGCTGAAGTAAACATTGAAAAGATAAAGACAAACATTTCCGGGATTTAAAATAGAAGATTGAACACATACGTGTAGCTTCCCTCCTTCTAAAATCCTAATAAAATGATATTTGTGAGATTTTTTTTAAAACAATAAGCCCATGAGAGAGAGGAGCACAAGGAGAGAGAGNTGAACACATACGTGTAGCTTCCCTCCTTCTAAAATCCTAATAAAATGGTATTTGTGAGATTTTTTTAAAACAATAAGCCCATGAGAGAGAGGAGCACAAGGAGAGAGAGAGAAAAGATAATGACAATATTTAGAAGTTAGAGAGCAAATGGCTGAGCTGCCATTGACCCAGTAGACCAATAAAAAGCTGTGACATAAGCGGGACATGGGGGAAGCCTGGAAAAAAGCTGATGTGTGGACTCCAGAACAGCTCAACAACTAGAAATACCATTGAAAGTGACAGACAACAGGCGCAGTGGATGGAGCCTACACGGGTGCAGTTTAGGGGCCCCCCTATCCCACCCAGCTCCCCCTCACCCTGGCAGAAGACTGAAGGTTTGTTCGTAAGGAGACTGAACCTGAACAACACTATGGACTAGAGGCCCAAACACAGCTGAGGGCAGAGGCCCAACACCGAAATCAAGGAATACAGTGAAAATCTGTGTCTTGGAAGGTTAAACCATAGCCGCTTACCTCTCTCAGGCTCCCAAGAAGTAGGCAGGAGAATCTTGATCAACTCAAAGAAAACATCTATAGGTTCTGATGTTTAGATGCCCCACCAGTGAAATGACACAAACCAACTGCCCCACAGTGAGGTCTGTACTCGCCAAGATGGGGCAACTGATGCAGAACTAACAGTCAACTCTGGTGTTTTTCTCTTAAATATGGACAAACAGCCAGAGAGCACAGGATATTTGGAGAAATATCAGAAGATATGGGAACCAAAGCAATTACACTCAGAGGATACAGAGACAATATAGGAGAGAGAATAAAACTTTTTAATTTAAGCTACAATTAATATCATTAAAGAGATAGAAGGGGGTGCAGCATTCATGAAACAAGAACAGGAAGATCTAAAAAGGAACAGTCAGGCTACAAAACAAGATTTTAGAAAGAACAGTAATAATAATAATTCTTTAAAATGATATAATGATTAGAATATTAAACTGAGCAAATATCTCAGACACTAAAAGGTAAAGAAGAGCAAATAATAAAAAATAAATAGGTAGAAAATTATATGATAATCCAGGAGAGTTTATAATTTAAGAATTAAAGTTTAAAAAGAAATCAGAAAAAGAAGTATGGAATTTATCAAAGAAATAAGGAAGTAAAATTTCCCAGAACTGAACAACTTGAGTTTCCAGACCAAAGGGCCTACCAGGTGCCTGATCCAGTGAATTAAAAAGAAAACTCACATAAGGAAATATCATTGTGAAGTTTTAGAACACTAGAAATTTTAAAAATCACTTTTTAATGTTATTTTTTATTTTTTAAACTTAAAAAGTTTTCAAGAAACTAGTTTTCAAAGCACTTTGCATTTGATGAGACCCAAGACTAATTTTTCCTAAAGAGTTTTTTCATTCATTATTAAATCACTGTAAATTCAGAGAGAAATATCGTATATGTCTGATTTATTTACCCTTCACAAAATATTATTTGTGTAGATCTGTTAGTCTAAGACACCTCATAAGCCTTCTAAAAGTTATCTCAGAATGAGAAAGTAAAAAATAAATTGCTGAAAACTCAGAAATAACGTTTTCATGAAGAAAAATTTCTCAACAGAAAGTCTAGAAATCAGAAGACAATGGATTAATGCTTTAAATTTGCTGCATCCAGGCAACTTTCTAAGTTACATTCTGGATAGTTATTTCACATATCTTCTACTTCACAGATTCTCTTTTTAGCTATATCTAATCTGTTAAGTGGATCAACTACATAGCTAATTTCAATTGCTGTATATCTTTTTTCCCTTGTAGAAATTCTATTTATTCATTTTAAAAATACTATCTTGCTTTTACTGCTTGGATTTTGCTTCTGGTGACTTTTTCACCTGTGTGACTGGTTGATATTATTATAATTACTTTTTACTGTATATTGATCATTACTATTGAGAACGTATTTCTGAGCAGTCTTTGAGGCCTAACCTGAAGACGCTGTCTTTCAGACAGGTTCCTAGAGGAACTACTTATTCTGGGACCACTTTTTTGAAAATTTATGAATTGAAAATTTCTGGACCATCCTAGGAGACACAAGTTTGAGCTATGAATCCATGCAAGAGCTAGCTCATGGTTTCAATTTCTCAGGAACGATGTGTATTTTCCTTCCTGTTTTCCTCAACATCCAGGCAGCTTGAAGTGCCCTAGGAGTAGGTAAGCATGAAAGTTCCTCTGGGCTTGAGTTTGTCAGAAAATGTAAGTGTCTTCAGGGCAAAGTGCCTTCACTTAGCTCTCCGAATTCCAATCCTCCCTGAATAGGAATTCACTTAATAATTCTTTATTACTTTGTCAGTTACTCGGTGCTTTTAAGAATGTGTATGTGTGCGTGTGTGTACTTAGTCCAGCATTTTTGCTTATTTCCAGTGGGAGAGTTGGTCAAAACAGCCTAATGCTATCATTTCCCAGATCTGGAAATCCTGTCAAAATTCCTAGGGAAAATGTGTTCCAACCTACACTTAGTTCTTCAGCAAAACTATAAATCATTTCAGTAACATAAAGATCTTTTCAGGCATGTAAATACTCAAAAAATAGCAACTCCTATTCGCCCTTTCTCAACAAGATTCTTTTCATTCCCAAAAAAACTAAGAAATCTAACATTACGGGATCCAGAAAACAGGAGATTTAACATGATATATAGAACCAAGGAAAATCCCGGAATAGTGGTCAAGGGGAATCCCAGGACCGCAGATGTGCAGGGGCCCTAGAAGGAACCACTCCAGACTGGGCAGGAGGCCTTCAGGGGTGACATTCCCGGGGAAGTGATGAACCTGAGACAGTACCCTGTGTGTACGTCTTGTTAGGAGAGTGACACGATTGGCAGAGGGTTTTGAGATGAATTGGTGATCATTTTTTAAAAGCACAGAAAAATAAATGAAAAATAAGACATCTGTTAAGTTTGCACAGAGCATACAAACACTTTGTATAAATAAGGGAAGTATCTTGTTGGAACACACATTTAATATGAGAATAACATGTACATATTCATAATAATGTAGGCACCGAAAGTGACATAATCTTGCTGGGGGCTAAAAGGGAATGAAGTTTGTGGTTGTGGGTAGAAGAGGCCCGGGAGCAAAATGAGAGGATAGATCTTCTTTTACCATAATAGAAAGTCACCAGAAAACAGCTGACAGTTAAAAATCAAGAACCAGCAACACAAGGATGTGAGAAATATAGAGGTAAGCAGGACTTCTGGTTCCAGCTTTCAATATGAACAATAGACAAAGCATTTTCTCCTAGTATAAACAGAAAGACTAAGGTGAAGTGTTTCCAGGGAAATAATATCTTGCTATCGGTTTGGGGGGAAAAAAACCTTATATGATTCCTTTGGGTTTTTATCAGATATGTTTCTATTCAATATTTCTGAGTGAAATCACATCACAACTTTTCCATTTGCAAATCCTTACTCCCTTAAAGATATGTATGTACATTCACGAAATATTTTTATGAGTCACTCAGAGTATAGTAAAAGCTACTTTTGGATCGGAGAGGCGGCTACTAAATTTTTAAGGAGGCCTTGGTGCATGCCGCCACCTGGTGGTGAGATGGAGAAAAATGGGGAGGACTCGCTGCGCCCCTCAGACCCTGACGGAGCCGAGTGCCCCCGAGAGACAAATCCTGAAGCATGGGGCTATAGAATGTGGCTTGTGGCTAATCGCTGCAAATAACCAAGCGCTTGTAACTCTGAAACCCTTTTTTTTTTTTTTGGTTATTTTTCACTTTGCTAGTGGAGAACACTGCAATACTGCTTTTTCTCTTTGCCAAAATCAAAGAGAAAAGTCAAGTGTAAAACACAATGACCTAGAGTGGGGGCGAGGGTGGGGGCTATGAAAAAAAATGCTTCCCCATAAAACTGAATCGTAGATAGGGCTGAAGATAGCACATTTGATTTTGAGGGTGGGGACAGTGAGGCCCACTGGCTGGGGCCCGCAGGGAGAAGCCCAGCAGAGCTGAGGTCAGGCAGCCCCGGGCCAGCTCCACTTTCTGGGGTGCTGAGTGTGGTGGGAGGAGCCCATTGGCAGACCCCCAAGGTAACCCTCGGCTCTGCTGTGACCTCGTCTGGCCAAGATGTTGGAGGGTGTGGCACGAGGCCCTCTCCTGCTGGAGCTGGAGCATGGCACTCACCTGAAAGCCCCAGTGTAGCCATAGTATCGCTCATTGCTGTTGGGGACACACTTGTTCTTGCCCGCGTCGTTGCCAACACACAGGGCGCAGAGATTGGAGTTCGGGTCTGACCCGGGGGCACAGCTCTGGCTGAAGAACTCACCTGCAGGGAGGGCCGTGGGCGGGCAGTGAGCTCTTCCTACCCGAGGTAAGGTAAGCAGCCTCCACCTAGCAGGGGCCACCGCTTGGGTCAGTTCATTCTGTTGCCCAGGGCAGACAGAACACTGTCACTGTCACGAGGAGTGACGTGTGGCCACCAATCCAGAGCCCACCACAAGTGGGGAAAGGCTTCAGGCGGCAGGCACTGGCAGAGAACCTGACTGGGGCTGGGGAAGAGCCTACGGCTACAGAGAGGGTCCCATCGTCACAGCCTCGAGCTGGGGGCTCCGCTGATGAACTTGGCCCCCTGCAGAGAAACAGACTGAGTGTGTTTTACCTCGGAGTGGGGCGGCTGGGGTGTGGGCAACTGTGCAGAGAACCAATCAGTACATCGGGACTTCGAGGCCGCCAC